AAAATTTATTTTTCTCTCAATCTCTGTGCTCATAAGAAAGTGTTCTGTCTTAGTTTGGATCCCCAAAAGCAGAACCTGAGACAGGGACTTGGGTGCAAGTAGTTTATCTGGGAGGTAGCCCCAGGAAAAAAGAGTGAGAGGCAGGGAGAGTGATACGTAAGGAGGAAAAGCAAACACAGGGTGCATGAGTGGGGCTCAGCACAGGCCACAGGGGCCTGGCTTCATCAGACCCCTGCGAAGTGTCCAGGTGCCTCCCAGAATTGTCCTCCTGACATGTGGCGAGTGGGCCATTTATCCACTGGCTCCATCCCCACTAGTTTGGGGTTGCCTGCAGGGGGCATTAACTCTCCTTCATCCATCCCTGAGCTGTGCTCTGCGCTTGAGATAAGCCTGCTTTTGGGTCTTCAGAGAAAACCCGGAGGCAGAAAAGCAGAGAGATGCACAGTGAGGCTATTGTGCTAGAATAGTCAGCACATGCAGAACTGTCCACCCCAATGCTGGCTGGATCAGAGGTGGGCAGTTTCACGCCCCACCTATCACACCTAGCACATACCTTGCAATTAGATTTAAACAAATAATCATGGTGAAAATGGCCACAGTGCAAGCTTCCTGAGGGCAGGCAGCATTCTCTTCTGTATTTTGAAAGCATTCCGTACATATATACAAGCAGAGCATGACTCAGCACCTCTGTAAAATAGGCCTCGTAAGATTTCTATAGGCTAGGTCTCCAAACAGATGACTGTAGGCCTAGCACACAGCAGGTGCTCAGTTGATGTTTACTAAATAAATAAATATTCCATCCAAGTCAATTATTTATTGTATGATTATGTGAATAGCACCAACCACACTGAATAATGTGTACTGGATAGTGAGAAGGAAGACCCAAGACAGTCGTTGTCTTCAAATAGTTTGTAATGTCATTGGGAAAGGTGATGTGTTTGCATGGAAGATGGAGTCACGTGATAGTGTCAGAAGTACTCAGTTACTTGCAAAGTGAAAAGTTCAGATAATGTGTTACAGGAGTAGATAATGGGCTGGGTAAGAGTTCAAGGAAAATGTGAAACTGGAGCTGGGTCTTGAAGCACAAAAAAATAAGTTTGGATGGTGTGTGTGCGTGTGTGTGTGTGTGTGTGTGTGTGTGTGTGTGTGTGAGAGAGAGAGAGAGAGAGAGAGAGAGAGAGTCAAAGGAAAGGAGAAAGCTTGTTGAGGGGAATTGGCTTCATTGGAGAGCTTTTAAAGAATTTACATTAAATTTTTGTTATAGATGTGACCCTGTAACCTGGAACTCTCTGGCAACCAGTCTTGAACCACGTTGTTCCCCTCTACTTGAAGTGTGAGATTTCCTCATGTCCTGGAGTCTGACTTGACTTGACTACATACATCTCCTACTGGTGTTTTGTTCAATCTGGACCAGTGACTATTATCAGTCAATAGGGATTTTACCAGACCGCTTCGGCACTGCTGAGTCTGCTCAAAACAAACACCCTCTTGCAACTAGCCTTATAGAAAGCCCAGCTCATGTGTGCTCAACAAATAGAATTCACTGGCATGGAATCTCTGTCTTCACATCTGCTCCTAGTAATGCACCAGCCAGAAAAACAAACACATCTACAAAAAAAATCTTTAAAAGATGCCAAGGGTACTAATCCTCAAGGCAAATGGGCAGCCAAAGGCTAGCATCTGTCTTCATTTTGCTAATAGACTATTTTGTCTTTCTGTAGGGATGAGAATTCATTTTTTAATAGGACAGTAGAGGGAGATGCTTCAAAACTGTAGCTATTTTATTTTTGAGGTGTTGACAAATACTATGCTGTACTAATACAGTAGGACATAAGCAGTACTCTTCTCCAGTTTTTGAACCCCAGTTGACCACTCCATCAAGAGGTCAGATGCTTTCTCTTGCCTTCAATTTCCTTTTTAAAAATACTTCCCCATAACTACTTGACAGCCTGACAGCCACTCTGAATAGGGAGCTATGTCTACATATTTTCCTCTGCTGCTCAATAAAATTAAATACATACATATATGTGTGTATACATAATATAATTTGCTTATATTCTCCCTACAAAATATTTTTGCTCTGGAAAGACATCTTATTTCCCACTTTAGTTAAAATGGTTTACTTTGTTGACATTAGTGGTAGGAAACATTGCCAAGAATCAAAAGCAACTTCATTTTATTGTCTTGTTTTCTACCATTGTCTATGTTTTCATGGTGCTATTAATTACAAGTTGGCTATTTTTGTAGATAATATTAAAATTGCAAATGAACAAGCAAAATCATGTTTAATTGGCAAGCATTCTCCTGGGGTAGAGCGAATTATTCATTTAGCTTGAAAGCTGCCCTTATTGGAGGTTGCTGCCAGACTACAGCCATGCCGCCTCTGGGTTTGACAGGTCAAAATGGTCCCCATCAGCCTGGAGCAGCCCTCCAGACCTCGGTGGAATTCCAAGGGTTGAGAGACTCCCCTGAGCCAGAGACCACCAGATACTCTTGTCCCCAGAGGCTGAAGTCTCTGGGAATCCTGGAATCCACCCTGGGAATCCCAGTGGGTCTACCTGCATTTGTACCTTCAGGATCTGTGCTAAAAAGTGCACGTGCCAGGGTGCAATTCCCAACCATTCTGCCTGGAAACTGGCTCTGGCCCTTCAAGATAGTCTTCTTTAGAATATGATTTGGCTGGAAATATTCTTAAATACACATAACCCGGTTATTCTTAACTGGAATATCTTCTCCAGTTCCTGTCCGCGTGCCCAAGGCTTCTGAAGCAGCCATTCAAGATAGTCTTCTTTAGAATATGATTTGGCTGGAAATATTCTTAAATACACATAACCCGATTATTCTTAACTGGAATATCTTCTCCAGTTCCTGTCCGCGTGCCCAAGGCTTCTGAAGCAGCCAGCGTATGTGCAACATTTTTAAGTTTAGGCAAAGTGGAGTTATCTAGCAGTTTTATAATTTGTAGTTGCCTGCTTATAGTTTACTTTAAAAGTGTGACCCGATGGGTCATTGTGTATACTTATGTTATTTTAAGCATGTGAAATGCTGGGTGTGTACAGTACAGTACTGAATTGTAATTTGAATAAAGTATGGTGTTTTATGTTTTCAGCTGACTTGAAAACCTGGCTGGCTTTGCAGAGGTGTTCCCTGAGTTGTTTGCAGTTTTCTGTGTGGCGGGGTGGGGAGTGGAGCAGACAGCCTTCATGGTGGCCTGCCTGGCCTGGTTGTCCAAGCTGCGCCTTGAAGCATCTTCATCACCAGCACTGGGTATTTCAAAGTGAATTATTAAAGGACAAAATTTCTGTGAAATAAAAACTAGTGTTAAGAGGAGCTACTTATAAAATAGATTTTAGCAACAGTAGGAAGCTAAAGAATAAACATTTGATATTCAGCAACAGAAAATACCTGGCTGTGTTTTCTTGGGGTGGAGAAATGATTACCTTAGCCAGCACTCACAGATTTAACCTTGTTCTTGAAGATGGTTACATTGCTTGGAACAGTTGCTTTTTTGTTTTCTTCTTTTCTTTTTTAAATTTTGAAATAACCACAAAATTATAAAACAGAAGCACAGCAAAAGGATTGTTCTTTTCCTGAGTAAATTTTGTACCAATATTCTATCACCTCTGAATAGTATGTTTTTCTACCAAAAAGAACAGTCCCCCATAACTACAATACAACCATCAACACCAGACAATTAACATTGATACATTGCTACCATCTAATCCTCAGACTGCATTTAAGATTTGCCAATTGTCTCCTTAATGTATTTTGTAGCAAAGATTCCATTCAGGATCTCCCTTTGCATTTAGTTGCCAGTTCTCTATAGTGTCCCTTGATCTGGGTGGTTCTTCTGTCTAGACTTCATGGCTTTGGCACTTTTGAAGATTACAAGTGGTTCTGTTGTAGAATGTCCCTCGTTTGGGTCAGTCTGATATTTCTTCATGACTTTAATCAGGTTATTCATCTTTGGCAGAAATAACACAAAAGTGATATTGTGCTCTTAAAAGAGCATCCTATCAGGCAGCTTGTAATCTTGATGTGTTACACTGCTGATAATGTTCATTTTAGACACGTGAGCAAGGTCGTAGCTGTGAGGATTCTTCACTGTAACTTAACTCTTTTCTCCTTCAGAGTTAATAAATATATTGGAGGAAGTACTTTGAAACTTGGTAAATTTTCTATTTCTCATCAAAATTTCAGTTTATTTATTCTTCATTTATATCTGTATGCACTTGTGGTTTACTATTTTATTCAATGGGTAAAAATTTATTATCTTTATTTTGAAATTGGTCTATCCCCAGCCAGCCCAAGTCCATTCAAACTGGGTCATGTGCCCTTCTGCCATGTCCCCATCATTCTTTCAGCACTTCCTTGCTTCCCCTGTCCCAATGCTGGGAGTCAGTGGCTTCTCCAAGGAGCCCCAGTTTCTTTGAGTGGAAAATGGTTTTAGAAGCCAAGATCTAGGCATTAGTTATGATCACTGCTATTGGGATTTCTCTGCTCTTATGGGGATATATATCTATGCATATATAATATATTTATAGAAATATATAAAATATAAACATATATTTATATATAATATAATATCACATGTATATAACATATAAATATACATGTAAATGAGTGCACATATACTAGTGTATGTGCAAGTGTATACAAATATATATGTATATATAATATATATATAGAGAGATGTAAATGTGTGTGGGTGTGTGCATGCCTGTCTATCCATCTATCCATTCATCCATCTGGAAATCCATGAGTTCACACCCATGCCTCTAATTCCAGCAAACACCACCTGGTTCCTAATAGATTTATCCTTTATTTGTCCTTCTTCTGACGGTCTGGGGTTTGATCCCTGCACTGGGCAGCAAAAAAAAAGACCAGAAGGCTATGCTTATTTCAAAACCAAAAAAAAAGTGTGGGGGTGCGGGGTGGAGAGGGTGGTATCACTGCCCCGCAGCCAGAATGTCTCTGTAACACGCTGCCTTCCCTTCATGAAACATGTCTGAAATGCAGCACAATATGACAGAAACCATGACATGTTTCATAAAGAGCTTTTGCTCTACTCACTGACAATTGTCTGACCTTCTGATGCAGCAACAACAGTCAATGATGCAAGTCATGGCACTCTTCAAACTCAAGTGAATTTAGAATCTTTTTTGCTTGAGGACCTTCGGATGGTTTCCCTTAAACTACAGCCAAAGATTAAACACTTGCCGACTTTTTTTTTTTTAAAGATGACCGGTAAGGGGATCTTAACCCTTGACTTGGTGTTGTCAGCACCACGCTCAGCCAGTGAGCGAACCGGACATCCCTATGTGGGATCCGAACCCGGGGCCTTGGTGTTATTAGCACCGCACTCTACCGAGTGAGCCACGGGCCGGCCCATGACTCTTATATTCTTAATATATTTATTTATTTGATCAATCCCTGGGTATAAAACCAATCTCCCATCACCCCCAACCCCTCCACAAGTTACCCTCCTCTTTTTGCTTGAGACCTGACTTCTCATTGTAGGCTGCCTAATCCTCTGCTACCCTCATTGCCCAGGTTGGCCTACAGATCCCCATTATGCTGGGATTTCCCACCCACGGATGCCTTTCTCTCCCTGTTTGGACTCTTAACTCCCCAGGCTGGGTCACTCCTCAATGACAACGCCCTATACACCCTGCTCAGGCCACAGTGGGTCCCTGGGCCTTGGGAAAAGATGCCCACAGCCTGTGCTTTACATTGGCTCCCAGAGTTTGCCTGTGGTGTTAAGTTCCAATTGTCTGCAGCGGTAACTGGCTTGATATACTTTATTGGCAGCCGTTCCTTCCCTGTCTCATTTCCCGACTTCCCTACTGGCGTTTTCTTCACCTGCCACATAAACTAGTGTATTAGTCAATTTCTGTTGCTTATATCAAAATACCCAGAACTGGGTGATTTATAAAGAAAAACGAAATTTATTGCTTACAGTTTTTGAGGCTGGGAAGTCCAAAGTCCATCTGGTGGTGGCCACAGTGTCCCAGGGGTCTCAGATGACAAGATGGTGGAAGCAGAGAGAGCAGAGAGAGCAAGAGACAGACTCTCCTCTTCTTTTAAAGCCCTCAAAACCACACCCCTGACCACCATTTTTAATCCATTCATTACTGCATGGTCCTATAATCTAATCACCTCTTCAAGGCTCCACCTTTCTATTACCATAATAGGATTTCCCACCCTCTTAACAGTCACAGTGGGGGCCAAGTTTCTTTTTTTTTTTTTTTTTTTTTTTTTTTTTTTTTTTTTTTTTTT